TATTTAATTGCATGCAAACGACAGGAGGTACAAGAACAATGTGCTCTTTGGTTATTTCGGTAAAGTCACGTAGAAAGAAAATAAATTGAATAATAGAATACGACGTTTCGATTGCAGCACAAGCAACCGTCATCAGATAGAACTAAATTTGAGAGAGAGACAAAACACAGACACGGACACATACAGACAGACACACAAGCAGAGAGAGACAACACAGACACACAGAGAAAGACACACAACATAGACACACAGAGACCCAATGCCTCTGTGTCGAGGCCTTAAATAGAGAGGGGGGGGGGGGGGGGGGTTGGGCAGAGAGAGAGGTGGGTCTGCTGGGGCAGCTGCTGGAGCAGAGAAATTAGCATGGCAATGAATCCACCCCAAAGCGACCGAGGGAAAGAAGATCGAATGGTCCTATGAGAGCCTGGTAAATTTTAGACAGAAATAGATAAGCACCTCATCGATTAAAATGACATAACAGGTGAAGAAAGTATGTGCTACCTAATGGATGAGACTGAACGACATTGTCCCCTAGCCAATATTGAATTGGACACTCCATACCTAAAAGGGAGATAAAAGCTGTCTGTATGGAACAACCACTATTTGAGGCAGTGATTGGTAATGTCCAGGGTCAACACCCTCTAGAAAGTTTGCTCAAGGAGTGGTTCCCCGTGGACAAGCTAAGAGGGAGAAGACGTGGACCAACCCCTTGAAGGTTCCCACAGGCATAGATGCAGAGATCATCTCAGAAAGGTTGATGAAATTACAGGGGAAGGATGCCAGTCTAACTGATCTCTGGAGGAACACCAAGGAAGGCAAACTATGGAATTCTGGCGTACTAACCACTGCGAAAATGTTTATTCACTGGTGTTTGCTACACAGATAATTCCAGAATGCCAATGTAGAAAAGGGTCGAACGATCCGACAATTGATGGTCCCGCACACATTGCGTGACCAAGTGTTGTATTTAACACATCATTCCATAATGGCCGGTCACATGCGAGTAAAGCGAACTCAACACAAGGTGTTGGCATGCTTCTATTGGCCAGGAGTTAATCGTGATGTGGAACGATTTTGCCAGTCGTGTGATATATGTCAATGCACGATTACGAAGGGTCGGGTGTCTAAAGTGCCGCTGGGTCAGATACTGCTAATTAGCACACCTTTTCAGAGGGTCGCTATTGATTTAATAGGGTCCTTACCGATTTCTGGAAACGGATACCGATATATTATAACCGCAGTGGACTATGTGACACGATATCCGAAAGCACATTCTCTTACAGATATTGAAACAGTGGAAGTAGCAGAAGCCCTGGTCGATACTTTTTCTCGGGTTGGGGTCCCCAAGGAGATTTTGGGTTGGTAGAGAGATGCTGAGAAGAATGGAAAGTGAACAGCAACGTAGCTAGGACATATCTGCCTGCGCTGCTCTTCACGTACAGAGAAACACCACAAGAGAGTTTAGGGTTTTCACCCTTTGAACTGCTTTATGGACGATCAGTCCGAGGTCCACTGTCAATCTTGAAAGAGCTGTAGCCAGTGAGTTGGAGCATGTACACCAAGCCCTCAGGATGAACGGATACTCGGACCTGTACAATCTGCAAAGCTGTCTCCCCAGCCATGCGGCGACAACCTTCTGAGGATCCAACCAAAAGCATCACTTTACCGTACATAGCAGGGGTTACCAAAAAGATTTCCAAAATCTTAAACAAACACGAGATCCAGGTTCGTTTCAACACAGTACACACAATCCGTGATTTAATCCCATCTGTAAAGGATGTGGTTGCTGACATGCAGTACCCTGGTGTCTACAAACTGAGTTGTGGTTGCAGCAGCAGTTACATTGGGGAAACGAAACGACATGTCTTGGACGGCGTTCGTGAACACAAGGCAGATCTGAAACACGGTAGGACCAATACTTCTGCCATTGCCGATAATTGTTTTAATGCTGTGAGCTCACACGCACACACGTGCAAGACAGAGGTACTATGCAAACCTACCGGCTACCTTCAGAGATTTGTTCATGAAGCCATCCAGATATATAAACACAGACACAACTTCAACCGAGAGGATGGGTACGAACTGAGAAATCATTGGAAGGACGTTATTAACCAGGTAAAGTCTTAACTGACTGTGATGTTTCCATCCTACCTGCCTATGTCAGCTGTTATTTCCGACTCTCTGTGTCTCTCTCTCTATGCCTCTCATGCTCACATGTCCTTTGCATTGCACTCTCATGCCTTTAGATTGCACTCTCATGCTCACATGTCCTTTGGATTGCACTCTCAAACTCACATGCCCTATTGCACCAATCTTCGATTTTACATTAATATGCTCACATTAACATAGCTACACTTCTACTGGAATATCAGGACAACAAAACCAGGAAGCACAGACTTAGCAACGTTCCAGTTGGTATTAACGGATCAAACACCGACACGACAGAGGCCTTACCCTCTACCACTCACGGTAAAAAGGCAGATCGAGTCAGAGATAGCCTCTATGAATAAAATGGTGGTGATTGAAGATTATGACTCCCAATATGCAAGTCCAGTGATTTGTGTGGGAAAACCAGATGGGTCCATACGGTTTTCTATAGATTATCGTCAACTTAATTAAGTAACAGTTAGGGATGCAGAACCCATCCTTAACCACAATATTCTATTTTCACAGTTGGCAGGGTCACAGTACTTCATGAGGCTTGATTAGGCGAAGGGGTACTGGCAAATTCCCATAGATCCAAAGAATTGACGTAAAACAGCCTTCACAACCCATGATGGCCTATATCAATGGCGATGGCCTATATCAATGGCAATGCCCTTTGGGGTTGTGAATGCTCCAGCAGTGTTCAGTAGAATGATGAGGCACCTACTGAAGCGGATTCCACAGGCTGTCAACTGTATGGATGACATGGTAATCCACACAAAGACCTGGGAGGAACACATAAGGGTCCTGGACACAGTCTTGCATAGACTTGCAGAGAACAACCTCACAGCAAGGCCAACCAAGTGTGAGGTTGGGATGACAGTAATGGACTGTCTGGGACATTGTGTGGAAGAAGATGGCATCCGGCCACAGGAAAACAAAATTGGCAAGAAAGTGGAAGCAAAGACTCCCAAAAATAAGGAGCTTCAGTCATTTCTCAAGCTGGTAGGATACTACCAGAAATGTATCCCAAAGTTTGCCAAGGCAGCCAAACCTTTAACAGACAAAACAAAAAAAGGTGATGGCAAATACAATAGATTGGGATATTGAAGCAACGTGAAGCTTTGAGAAACTCAATACGGCTCTGACCCACGAGCCTATCTTGAGGTTGGCTGATGAGACCAAACCATTCATGTTACGAACTGAAGCATCAAAGGCAGCTCTGGGGGCAGTCATACTTCTGGAGTATGACCGATAATTATTCCCATTTGTAAACTTTTGGATTGGGAACGTCGGTACTCGACAATCGAGAAGGAGTGCCTAGCCTTGGTATGGGTGGTTAAAAAAAATCCATATATTTGTATGAAAAGGAGTTTATCTTGGAAACTGACCACCAAATTTTGCTCCATCTAGACCGGGCTAGACTGGAGAATAATAGAGTGATGCGATGGGCCTTGGCCCTCCAGCAATATCAATATTATGTGAAGGTATTGAAGGGCTGTGACAATGTAGGAGCAGATTTCCTGAGCCGAAGTGGGCCACAAGTAGGAGCGTGACATAGAGTAAGGAGCTCCAGTGTACCATGTGTGAGTGTTCGGGAACGCATAGGCTCAGGTGTAAGTGTCGGGATGAAGGGGGAATCCTGTGGCATATTGTAAGTGCACCGTGTTGTCCTGGAGATGCGCTATGGCATGAAAGCTGGCAGGTTGGCTTGTCTACAAATTAAAGATAAACCAACCCTCTTTAATTGCCTCAAGTTGTGGTGTCGATTGCTCTCTTGCTAGACTCCACTCCCACTATACACGGGCGTGACTTGGCTGACCAAAAATATAATAGTGGTGGTGATGAAGGTTAGCCTGTAAAAGTAGACAAGGATCAAAGCGCCACAAATGCTCCGATGCCGTAACAGCGCCTTGGTAAGTACAAGTCCACGGGCTGCACAGAAGTCGAGCAGCCTCCTAGCGTTATTATTGAGGTGATCTGGCCCTTGCCTTCCAATAATTACTGCCCAGGTGCCTGCATCATGACCAACTAAGGCATTAAAGTCACCTAACAGGATGACTCTATCCAGAGGAGCCACTTTAGCTAGGTCATAGAAGGCATCTGACTCATCAGCTTTGCGTGTATGCCGCCACCACTCATCACCTCCCGTTGATTGGATGGCTAGCTCTAAGTAACCTCGGACTTACAGCTTCCCGCACCTGACTTCTACACTTCCACGTGCCCTTCATTATTTTGTTTAGAAAAAGAGCTGCTCCTTATCGTTTGCCAGTTTCCTTCCCTGAGATGAGGACTGTTCCAACATTCAGTGACTGTAGCTAGAACCAGTCCACCAGACCTCCTGAATACCATATAAATACAGGTGGTACCAGTCCAGCTCCCGAAAGAGAAGTGGTAGCCTATCCTCCACAGTGAGCATTATGACATTCCACGTCGCCAATCACGGTGGCTTTTGGCCATTCTGGAGGAACCTGAGGGTGCGGGTTCAGTCTCTCCAGCACAAGTTTAGTTTTGTTTAGTGGCAATTGAATTGAAGGTGGAGTGGTCACCCGCCCATCGCACCGTCGAGAGCCCATGCTGTGGTGGCTACTAGTACCATGAGAGGAACGGCTGATTTAAATGAGCCCCCCCCCACCATAGCATTGCTCACAGCCACGAGAGCACTACAATCCGGCAGCATCGAGGAGATGGGGGTTATTTTTGAAAGACACCCACTCACCCACCCACCCACTCAATAACCCACCTACTCATCTACTCACTCACCCAGTCACCCACCCACTCCATGACTAACCCGCCCAATCCCCCCCTCTCCCCCCCCCTTCCCCCCTCCCTTCCCTCCATCCCCTCCCTCCCAGATGTTGAGGATGTTTGAAGCCAACTATCCGGAGTGTCTAAAGAGGATGTACATCGTGAAAGGTGCTCATTTAGATGATGCTGCTGATTATTACAATTCTGATCATGTTGCTGCTGATGATGATGCTGCTGCTGCTTCTGCGACTGCTGATGATGTTGCTGATGATTCTGATGCTCATGATGATGTTGCTGCTGATAATGTTGCAGCTCCGCGTATCTTCTCGCTGTTCTATACCCTCATGACGCCCATCATCGGCGAGGGCACCAAAAGCAAGATCCAGGTGCTAGGCAGTGAGTAACCACCCAAACCCTCCCGTGACCCCACCTGGATTCTACTTTGATTCCAAATTGACCCCACCATGACCCCCCCACCCACCGTGATCCACCCTGACCCCCCACCCTGACCCCACCGTGACCCCGCCATGACCCCACCTTAAACCAAACGTGACACCACCTGTGATCCCATCGTGACCCCACCATAACCTCACCGTTATCCCCCCCTGACCCCCCCAAGACCCCATTGTGACCCCAACATAACACCCCCTGTGACTGCACCATGACCCCACTGTGACACCCCCTGTGACCCCACCGTAACCCGACCATGACCTCATCGTAATCTGACAGTGTATCTGCTTGTCTCCGTGTGTCTCCGCGTGTCCCCGTTTGTCCCTGTGTGCCCCCCGCGTACCCCCCGCGTGTCCCCACGTGTCCCAGGTGACTGGCAGGAGGTGCTGCTATCACAGATCGATGCCTCTGAGGTCCCTGAGTACTACGGTGGGACTCAGACAGGCCCGGACGGAGACCCACGATGTGGAGACAAGGTGAGAAACACGGGGACAGTGACGTTGACAGGGCTAGACAGAACCCCACTGTGCGGAGACAAGATGAGACAGATGGGGACAGGAACAGGGATACACTCATCCTTTGTCCTCATGTCTCTATCTCTCCCCGTATCTGTGTCCCTGTATTCCCGTATCCCCATGTACCCTGTCCCCGTGTCTCCGTGTCCCCAGATAAGGTTCCCCACCGAGGTGCCCCTGCATTACTACGCAGCACGTGACCTGAGCTATGAAAGCAGCGTGACCGTGGGGCTGGGGTCCTCGCACACCCACAGCCTCCATGTCGCGTCGACCGGCAGCGTCATCCAGTACCTCGCCCACCTACCCAGCAACCTACCCACTCACTCATATACCCACCTAACCACTCACCACTCACTCACAGCCTCCACGTTGCATCCAACGGCAGCGTCATCCACTACCTCACCCACCCACTCAACTACCTACCTACCCACTCCCTCACCCACCCACTCACCTACCCACCCACCCAACACCAATCACTGCCATTCACTACTTTTTCTTCTCCTTCGGTATGGCTGTTGTCGATGCAGAGCAACAACTATAAATTCACATTCAGGTAGTTAAGCCAGATAATCATGTCAGCAGTAGCGGAGTGTATCGCTGTAATTTCTCCTTCGTATTTGTAGATCGAGCATTATACATCTTGTATGGTCTGTTCTGGATTACCATAGTCAGTTTTTATTTTTCAAATCGTGCATCATGTATCCACATCTGCCATGGTTTGTGCAGATGTGGTTTAGGGTGGACCATGAGCTTCATGGAAGATCAAACCCAGGGATATTCTGCGTTGGGTCTTTCACAAGGTGTTTGTTAGTTATTTTGAACTGCATTCAGCTCTCCAAGCTTCAACGGGGTTAAACTCGCATTGTCAAACGTTAAGCATATGGGTCCAAAAGGGCTTGTGTGACTTCAAGCAATGACGAAGGACGCTATTGAGGTCCTGATGAATGGGAAGGCGACTGTTTTCCTCGATTCGTAGGACTTCCCGGAAGGTTGCAGCACTGTGGCAGGTGAGTGGGGGAAAGATTTGTGACAGCACGAGAAGCTAGGGTGTTGGGTTTGACTTGAGGGTTCCAGTGATACACTGCATTGCAGTGTTTAGTAGTACATCAACAAGTCGAGTGTGACTACTTCTGGTACAAACTGGTCCATAGTACTCGGCTACAGAGTATACAAGGACCATCGTTGTTATCCATAACACGGAGGGTGCTGATGCTCCCCAGCTTGTGCTTGCCAGTTTCTGCACCAGCTTGACCCTTGTTTTGATCTTGGCACCTTTTTCAGGTGGTCGTGGAAGGTTAGCGTACGGTCCAGCTTCACTCCGAGATAGGTTAAAGTGGGGTCATGTCGCACAGTGTTGCCGCAAAAGGTCGCTTTCAGAGTATACTTAGCACTCCTATTATCAAGATTGAATGTAGTGACTGTTGTTTTGTGGGGATTTGGCTTGAGCCTCCATTTCCGGAAATAATCCTTCATGGTCTTTAGGTCTTTATTCAGAGCAGATTCGATGTTGTTGAAAGTACCTGCCTGCGTTACCAGGGCTAGGTCATCTGCATGTCGCTCATATAGACATTGACAAGAACTGAAGCCTGTGGCAATCCATTGTTGAATAATCGTGGTGAGCTGCCTTTGTCGCCCATATAGACAGGCAGTCGCCTATTGCTCAGCATCGTCCATATCAGGAAAATTGTTTGAGGCGAAGAATGGTCCTTGTGAGCTTCAACATAATGCCCTTAATCCAGACTGTGTCGTAGGACTTTATAGGTTGTGCACAGGAGTGATATCGGTTTATAGTTTCCCCGGTCGTTGGTTAGCTTGCCCGATTTGGGTATTGCAATGACCATTGCAATCCATGCTTTTGGGATGCAACCAATTTTTGTGCAAGGGTTTTCAGCCATTGGAGTCCCCATGGGGCCGAAGTGATGGAGGAACTCTGGGGGGATACTATCTCTGTTAGCAGCCTTGCCTTTTTTCATTGCAGCCAGACCCTCCCTCACTTCCTCTGTGCTGATGTCGGTGCAGTCTTGTGGAAAAATGGAGGCCATTGTCTGGTAGAATTGGCAATGGATCTCTCGCTTGATGTGTTGTCGACCGATCCTGTAATGTTCTGCACTCGTTTCGAGGCTACAAAGTTGTGCAGGACTCTTGTGATCCAGTATTCTGTTGGGTTAGCAGCACCCAAATGTCATAGTAGGGCCCAGGCACGGCAGCTGGAGTATGTGAAGTCCAGGCCTTCAATGCACTCAATCCACCGCTGACGTCTGGCTGAGTCTAAAGACTCCAGCAGGGCTGTTGTAACCTGTGGCCTGTCCATTGTACTGTCAGATTAGGTTCTGGGTCTCTTTTGTCCAGCAGGGAGTAGATTTTTTTCAGAAGCCTCGGGGAATTCTCTTCTTGGCTGCTACAGTAAGGAGGCCAACAAAATGGTGAAAGCATTCCGATGTTTCAGGAATTCGACTCATCACTCTCTCTATAGCCTCCTTATAGTGGTCCCAGTCAGCTTTGACCAGGTTCCACCTTGGCAATAGTTTAAACACAATCAGGGGGATTTCGATGCCGATTCGGAGTATTTTGTGGGATGCGTGAAGTGTGCTCCCACTGATTTTTAGAAACCATTGTGAGTTCCGGACTATAGTCACGTTGTCAGCGAGCAGAGTGAAACGTTGCTTACTAATTCGGATAAAAATCAGGTGCAGATCTTCAGTGGCTATCCAGTTAGTGGTCTTCACAGTCGGCCTGATCTACTGCATAGCCCCACATAGTTTGGTGGCTGTTAAAATCACCAACGTATAGGCCTGGGATTGGTGTACTTTGGAGTGCTGGCTTTGTCCATTTTTAATTAAGGGCGTTGTACACATTGGTGATGTGCAATTCCCCTATTTTGATGCTGGTGGTGTAGGTGGCTTCTTTTGCAGTTGATGGGAAGGCTTAGAACTCTGTGATGGTGTTCTTCACATTTGCAGACAAGCCATATTTCAGATAGTAGTGGCTTGTCGTGAGGTTGTATCCATGGATGTGGTAGCGATTAGCATGGAGGGCATCCAAGATGTGGGTTTCTTCAAGCGTCAGGACATCAATGTTACGTGTGTTCATTATGTTCGCCTTGTAGAGTCTCTCAATGTAAAATTTGAGGATCCATGTCCCGGGGCCTATCTGGCACATTCATTGGTCCTAAAGTTGGCTTGGCTTGTGTTATTGCTCTGGAGACTGGAAGATAAATTTAACATGTAGGCTTTAGCGACCAATATCATCCATAATACATGTTTTCTGGTTAGATCGTATAAACATGGGTCGTGGTAAGGTTGTAAATGTTGTGGATTTGCTCTCCAACGCACCGGTGTACTGTACTGCTAACGAGTTGTTTACGTGACAAACCTTACTAATTGGCTATGTCGGGTAGTGGCGGGTTTAACGACACATTTAAAGGCTGCCATCTTCCACTCCAGGAGGTCATAGAAGGCATGTGACTCATCAGCCTCGCCTGTGTCCCTCCACTGATGTCCGTCCATCTTCAGTGGGGCCGTAAGCCACCCCCACCATTCCTCAGCTCCTATTGATGGGGATGTGAGCCCACAATAACCGGAGACTTACAGCTCCCCACATCTCACTGCCACTCTCCCACTCCTCATTCATTCTTTTCTTCAGAATAAAAGCTACTCCCTATCGTTTGGCAGTTTCCTTCGATGAGATGATGACTGTTCCACCCCTCATAGTGACTGGATCTAGAACCAGTCCACCGGACCTCCTGAATACCAGAGATCCATGCGGTACCAGTCCAGCTTCCGACATAGGAGTGACAACCTCTCCTCCACAGTGGGCATTCTAACATAACACGTGGCTACTTGCAGTGGTTTTTTGCCATTTATAGAGGAACCCCGAGGGTGTGGGTTCAGTCTCCTGCCAAATAGGGTTTGGCCAGAATATGTCATAGAAGCCTGTCCCCCGCAGCCTCCGGTACAAGCTTGGTTTGATATTCATCACATGTGTAGTGTCGTCTGTGCGTGTGGGTGGCGTGCGTCGCACACACAGTCAGCCAGAGACGAGGTGGTCGCAGGAGGCACCGCTCGACCCTCTTTATTCGTTGTTGCTGAGCTCACGCCACCACTCGGGCCCCCTCTCTCACCCACACACGACCCTGCTTTCGCATGACCTGTCCCCAACATGACCCTGCCCGCGTTGACCGGGACAGCAAACCACTGTACAGCCGCGCAATGCCCGGGCAAAGGCAGCAGTGACAAGGGCTGCGATGACGACAGCGACGACGAGACGAGTCCAATCCCAGAACCGGCCGCCCAGAGCCCTCGCTCTCTGCTGCTTATATTCCCTTCGGTGCAGCTTGGCTCCACTCTAGCCGTGCCTCCCTTCACGAACCTTCTAAAGGGTTCCAGGGGCTTCCACACGAGGTCTATCATGACCCTTGCCCCAGTTCCTCTACCCTGCCAGCACACCCGCATATACGCTCAGCGGCATGTGCGTTAAGTGCCCACCTGCAGTTTCTGCTGCTGTTCAACAGTCAGCGCTATGTCACTACACATGGTTAAGTGATGGTTGAATTGAAAGTGGAGGGGTCACAAGCCACTCATACTTATCCAGAGCTCCCATTGGCCACTGTGGTGGCTAAGAACACAATGAGGGGAACAGCCGATTGGAATCAGCCCTTCCTCCATGGCATTGCTCACAGCCATGACATCAGCATTACCATCCAGCACCATCGAGGAGGTGGGGTTGTTATTGCCACCGACATACTCACCTATGGGTCCTTCTGTGTGTCTCACAGGTGGTCATTCCAGACTGAGAGCCATGATATAGGATTCGGGGTGAGTATGCAAAGAGAAGGTGGTGAAGACACCAGGATCATAATTGCCGTGCAGAGACACAACACCCACCTCATCCCCGAGCATGGAACGCTCACTGCCCAAGAGCCTGGCCTCTGTGAGTGTCCCCATGTCTCCCTCTGCCCCTGTCTCCCTGTTCCTGTGAGTGTCCCCGTGTCTCCCCATGCCTCTTTATGTCTCACCACGTCTGCCCGTGTCTCCCCATGACTCCCCGGCTCTCCCCTGGTCTCCCCATGCCTTCCGGTTTATCCCTGTGTTTCCCTATGCCTGCCTACATTTCCCCATGTCTCCCTGTGTCTTCCCATGTCTCCCCGTGTTTCCCTGTATTTCCCCATGTTTCTCCATATCTTCCTACGTCTCCCCACATAACCCAATATCTCCCTGTGACTCCGTGTCTCCCCCATGAACCCCCTTGACCCTCCAAGACTCGTTGCTGTTTGACAACTCCCACATCGAGACCAATAGACTCACAGTGTCTGTGACTTCCTGTGACCCCCCATGACCCTCTGTGACCCGCGTGATCTCCAGACTCCTTGCTGTTCGACAACTCCTATTCGTGGATTCACTCGAAAAATCTGCAGTTCACGGTGAAGCTGCAGCCCCCTGGATCAGAGACAGCTTGACCTACGACCCGACCCAGTGATCCGGCCCAGACCTGGCCCAGTGACCTGATCCAGTGACCCGACCCAGTGACAGTGATCCAGCCCAGTAATCCAACCCAGTGACCTGACACAGTGACTTGACCAGTGACCAATCCCAGCTACCAATCCCAGTTACCAACCCAAGTGACCTGACCCATTGACCCGGCCCAGTGACTTGACCCAGCTGCATTAATTGTACTGCCATCTTAATCATACCGTTTGTTAAATTTAGGGATTAAACAGTGATGTATCATTGTTAATTACATTAAATGTGCGTGATGATAGGTGTTATGGTCCCATGATGGCATTAGTGATGTTAGTGATGGTGTTAGCGATATTTGTGATGTTAATGATGGTGTTATCGATGATGATGGTGTTAATTATGATGGTGTTAGTTTTTATGATGAAGGCTATACTATTGGGGCAGCTATCAGTCGCTAAGCCACTCCGTTGACAAAGTACAGCTTTCAATCGAAAAAAAAGTACAGGCAATCCTCAGTTTCCACACTTTTGTGGTACGCCATTTTGGAATAAAGCGCGCTGTGTATTTAGACCTTTTATTGACATACGCAAGGTAATTTTCGGAAAACGTCATCCGCAACGCGACATACACCATCCTAGCCTGGCACCGCGACCCAATGGCGTTGCCAGCAGCCAGTACTGTACGATAACTCGTGTACTATACTGTACTGCTTCTCACCACGTGTATAGCAGCACTATTCCCTTTGTCTCCACAACGCAACTCCCGGCATAGTTACAATTGTAGGGGACTAAATGGATAAGAAACGGGACACAGAGGTACTAAAGATGTAAACATAGAAAGAACGCAGGTGCGGAGAGAAATTAGAAAAGAATAAAGGGATAATTAACATAGGTAGCCAGATGTCTAACATCCGAAGAGGAAGGGGCACAGGTGAAGGGATAATTGAGAGGGTACTGTTGCAAAAACACACAGGTGGTTAAGAATTAAGGACCAAGAGGGAGCTATAAAAGGGGAGCGTCGCTGGCAAAAGCCCTATTGATAAATACTAGAATACAGGCGATTATGAGTGCAATCCCCGAACCCCCTCTTTTACCATTATTTATTGTGGGAAAATTGATTTTGATATACGCGATTTTGAGATACACGCTTTTTTTCCATTACTTGATCTTTCGCGTATATCAAGGAGTGCCTGTACGTCTTAATTACCACGTGTCCCACAACACCCACCGACCGCGGCCTAGTTGGCTGGCCTGAAAAAGTGCACCGTCTTTGGGCAGAAATCTAGGAAAGTCGGGGGGGTCGGGGTGAGTAGAGTATGACTGTGGCCCAAAGTTTACGCATTCAACTTTCCCGATGATAACTTAACAAGATATTTGAATGAGTAGCAAGACCGTGTAGCCCACACAGCCTGTCGGGGGCAAGTGCTGTTAGTGAGCAGCAGCATCTATAATTGGGAGTGGCCACTGAACCACGCCCTGCCCACCTTTACCTCTCTTCCCAGTGGGGATGTTTACACGGCACAGCAGGCACTCATTTAAGGCTGACTCGACCTAAAGGAAGCCCATGACAGGTTCAGATAATCGTCACTGGTGGTTGTGGTGATGATGTGATTAATGATGTAGCTGATGGTGGTGACGATGGTTGCTATTGCTGCTCATTACAATGGAATTGGTAATCTAGAGTAATATTACGAAGTAAGTAATCCATCACAGATGTAACCCATCACACACACAATGGAGCCGGGTAATCAATAAAGTAATCCATCGCGAGTAATCCGATTGTCCAGTGGTGGTTTACAAGTGCGGTGGCGGTGCGTGTGGGGGCTATGTGTGTCGTGGCTGTGTGTGGTGGTGGCTATGCATGTGGCGGAGGCTGAGCATGTGGTGGTGGCTGCGTGTGGTGGTGGATGTGCGTGTGGTGGCGGATGTGCGTATGGTGGTGGCTGTGTGGTGGTGGCTGTGCATTCGGTGGTGGCTGTGCATTCAGTGGTGGCTGTGCGTGGTCGTGCCTGTGCATTGAGTGGTGGCTGTGCGTGGTCGTGCCTGTGCATTGAGTGGTGGCTGTGCGTGGTGGAAGATGTGCGTGTGGTGACTGTGTGTGCGGTGGTGGCTGCGTGTGGTGGTAGCTGTGTGTGTGCTGGTGGCTGTGCATGGTGGTGGCTGCATGCGGTGGTGGCTGCGCATGCAGTGGTGTCTGCGTATGGTGTTGGCTGCGTGTGTTGGTACACGCTGTTCCGGCATCGGCGCATCCACACAACACCATGGATGCATGCCGGGTCCAAGCAAGAACATCTGCTGGACTACATAGTGACGGACCAGTGGATGCGAGCCCATGTCCTTGACACCAGGACCTACCGTGGAGCTGATCTGCCCTCTGACCATCGACTTGTCATCTGTAAGATGCGCCTGCCATTCTTCAGCTCCGGTGGTGGGTGTACATCCAGGACCCCATTCCAACCTAAAGTGGCCTGGTCTCAGTTATCTGATGAAAGTTGCAAGCGAGAATTCCATCATCGCCTGCGGCTGGGGTTGGCATCGTCCCCCAATCCTCCGGATGTCGAGGGTAAATAGGCGAGGTTTATGACTGTCACTCATGCAGCTGCATTGGCTGCTTTGGGTACGTGGTCCAGACCTCCCCAGAGACCCTCGCTGACAGAGGAGGTGTTCAGGATATTTGAGAAAAAGCGACAGGCCCACTGTCATCGGCTACAGAATTCCACATCAGAGAATGAGGAGGCTTACCGCAGCCTTCGCTCGGAGGGTTCGGAGAGCCATGAGGCGCTGCAAGGATGGGTGGTGGTCGTGGGTTGCTGAGGAGATGGAGTCTGCCTCAGTGGCCCGCGATCACAAATCTCTATTTAACTCCACAAAAAAGTAACCTGCAGCGCCACACCTATTACCATCATTAGGGGAAAAAACGGTGATCCAATCTCCGACCCCCAGGAACAGGTTTGCAGATTTGCTGAGCATTTCTGTGAGGTCCTGGGGGAGGGAAAATCCCTCAGCCAGGAAAACATCGTGGCACAAAGTGAGGATGACCCTGCTGAGGCTGCGGTGCCTCAAATATTGGAAGAAGTCACCCCCTGTGAGTGGCTGGCTGAGGTGCCATCTGTTGAGGAAGTACTGAAGGCGATCCGGAGTCTGAGACCAGGAAAGGCAGCAGGCAGAGATGATCTCCCAAGCGAAATGCTGAGGGAGGGTGGCGTTTGTGCACAGACTGCCCTATATGACATCATAACAACAGTCTGGACCACTGGACAGGTTCCGCAGGATTGGAAGGATGCCCTGGTGGTCCCCCTCTTTAAGAAGGGGGACCGCACAGACTGTAACAACTACAGGGGCATCTCACTCCTCAGTGTGCCGGGAAAGGTCCTGGAAAGGATTATTCAACATCGCCTTGCCAGGCACGCTGAGGAGAGGCTTGCGGAGCCCCAATGCGGTTTCAGGAATGGGCGGTCCTGCACAGATGCCATATTTTCTGTCCGTCTGCTACAGCAGAGGTGTAGGGAATTCCAGCAAGACCTACATCTCTGCTTTATTGACCTGGTCAAGGCCTATGATACCATCAGTAGGCCTGGGCTCTGGGTTGTTCTTCGTGCTTTTGGAGTACCTGACCCTCTGCTCACGATCATTAAGGACCTTCATGATGGTGAGCAGGCCCGGGTAAAACTCCGTGGCCGGGAGTCAGAGCCATTCCCTGTACACCTTTGGGTGCGACAGGGATGTCCTCTGGCTCCCAAATTATTTAACATCTATTTTGACCACGTAGTTCGTGAAGCCTTCAATAGCTGTACCAGGGGAATCTCCATATAGTACAGATATAATCGGAGGCTGATCGATGCCCGGGTGCGGTCAAGGGATGGCTCCCTATTGCTCAACCACGTTATGTATGCCGATGATTTGGTAATAGTTGCTCATTCAGAGGAGGAGTTGGAGACGCTGCTGCTGAGACATGCTAACGAGGGTAGTATGGGCATCATTGGTCAGGTTGCACATGTATCGCCATTGGGGAGGTTCATGCGTCGGGGCCGTGTTGATTTCGTGCACGTTGGCCGTGCCGTGCTTGTTAGGCACTAATTTTTTTGTCACGGATGCCGGTTAAGATACTCGTGAACCAGGGTTGTCTTGAGCTGCCGTCGGGTCGTACATTGTGTTTTGTCGCCGCCGTTGCCACAACCGGCGTCCGCCTATACGGATCAGGCGTTGGTTGATGCCACCGTGACGGTTCCGTCGGGTTCGCAAATGTTGATTCTGCTCCGTTATTGCAAGCAAATCTGTTGCAAAGTCGCGGTGAATGGGGTCTTGTTGACGCCCTGCAATGCTGCTACGCGAGGGTTGAAGTTGGTTTGTGCTCAGACCATCCTCAGAATGGGTCAGGCCCCGTTTTTGCAGGTTTTGAATGGGGACCCTGGCAATGTTGTCATGCCCGCGGGCACTGTCCTCGCTCACATCACCCCCGTGTTTACCGACCGTGAGGAGTGCTCATCAGCGCAGGCTGCCTGCGCTGTCGGTAAGAAATGTTCGACGGACGATCGGTGGATTGCCAACTTGTGTGCCAAAAATGCATCGCTGTCCCCGGCTCAGCAGGCTTTTGTTGTCCCAATTTTCGGACGTGTTCAGCAAGGACCATTATGACTTGGGTCGAACGTCCTTGTTGTCCCATCACATAGACACGGGCGATGCTAGCCCCATTCGGTTGAATCCGCATTGTATGGGGCCGTCAGAGAAAGAAAGTGTGCGCCGTGCTGTGGATGACATGTTGGCTGCGGACATTATTTCGCCAATCAACAGGTTCGTGGGGTGCTCCTGTAGTTTTGGTCAAGAAAAGGATGGTAACCTACGGTTTTGCGTGGACTTTCGGCGCCTTAAGGTTTCCGTAGCGGACGCATACCCCCTGCCTCGGATGGATGATCCTTTGGATGCTTTGTCCGGAGCGTGGTCTTCTCCACCCTTGATTTGTCTTCTGGCTTCTGGCAACTGACCCTCGATGAGTCCTCGAGGCAGAAG